ATCTTAAAAATGCAATGTATAATAAAATATTATGTGAAATAAACGATATGAACATTTTTATTTCACATTTTGACTGAAACCCAGGAAGGAAGAAATATAATAACAATTACTCGCAGTCAGAAAAATAAATCAAAATATGAAAAGTGTCCATAATGGTAGCTTATGTATCAAACAGGAGAGATTTAACTAACGACCGCTTCATATGAAAAGGAAAATAAACGGAAAAACTAAAAAAATAATAGAAAGAGCTGGACTTTCGCGGTCATCGCTGGAAACTGGTGAATTTCCCAGGTTTTCATGCATCTTGACGTTTCGCAAACGCGAGTAGCGTGCATCATCAGAGGTGTTTCACTCAAAAACTTACACTCGATCCATGTCAGTTGGTTTACTCGAACTTGATTGGCGCCTGGACGCGGTAAAAGAATGTCCTAATGAACCACTGTATTGCGTGGGTAAGCCACTGAAGATGACAGCGGCTTGTGTTAACGAAACGCCAAGAAAGGAACATTTTTGTGACGGTGCCAAGCCCGAAAAACTCACCAGTTTCAACCAAAAGTTCCAGTCAACTGTTAACGTTCTCATTCGAGTAAACAGTTCTATTGAAGATTTCATTAAGGAAACAAATCCACAATGTGAAAGTGGAAACATTCGATCGGAACGTCTTTTTTGCATAGCGTTTTTCTGCCTATTAATTGTAATCGTGTTGAAAGCCCTGGAAACAATAAAAATCCAATCGACAAACCTTAACATTTACACGCAATTATATCAAAGGGAAATGCCATGCCGGCAATAATTCCCGAATACAGCAAGGATAAGAAAAAGCCCGTTAATTTCAGTTCCGGATTGAGAATTAATTGCAATTTGTCTAGTTGGAGAATAATAGCGATTGTTCTCATTATTTTATAACTAATAATAGATGTTCGGCGAGGTGTTTTTCCAGTTGCGCTTGAGATCATTCTAAGTCTTTCGGTTGGTTCGTGCGAAAAAAACCATCTTCTGCAGGAATGTTTAGTGCTGCTGCTAATTGAAACATGATACGCCTGTGGACCTGCATTCTGCATATCTATATGGATAGTTTGTGTAGGTTGGCCGTCCTTTCAGCAAAAAGTAATGATTGATTATCAGGAAAATGCAATTTACTCTCATTGTGTTCTTGCAATTGTTGCATAGCTATTGTTAGGTTTTTTTCTCTCAAAGCTTTACTTGTTTGCTTCTAGGTCAATAGAGACCGCAAATTTTCAATTATTGATTTGATTGATTATTATTGTTTGTTTATTTATCTACTTACGATAGTAGGTTGCATAAACACCATATGCAAAAACTATTTTTTTGAACCTAAGTTTGGCTTAATTTGTCTAAATTGTACGCGATTTTATTTGATCCTTTTTTGATTAGAAGACCGGTTCTTGTTGCATAGCTGAAACTCGCGAGTTTTTTCGCATGCCCAAGTCACTTACGCAGGCCAGATTTAAAACTGTTCGGAGTTCCGTTGCCTTTCAACGTTTGCCCGAAGCGGAAAATCTGCAGTGCTTGCAAAACTTTGGCTTCACATTTTTTCCATCGTGGCTAAAAGCCCGACAAACTCACCAGTTTCTAGCAATTTGCGGAGAAACATTACTTATTTGTTGGGCATTTCGAATCAGTTTTTGCCTTCTTTTTTCCATTAATTACCTTGATAGACACTTTTGAACTTTACTTATACAACGTTTTTAGTAAATTATGTCATTACTTCTTGGAAGACAGCAATTCGCAATAAAATACATCCCGGCCGGGTTCGCATATAGGCCCTATGACAGCGCTCGCCTATGCTTGCACGTGGAGAATAAGGCCTACTATACGGGAAATCGTCGGTTATATGCCAATAAATTATTTTTCAAATGTGATGCAATCGTGGTGAAAATGAATTTAAGCATTTAATAAGCATGGAGGAAAGTAAAAAAAAAATCAAGAATTTAATAAAATTCAAATTCAATTGAAAATAAATATATCACGCTTATTAAATAACCCCAACCCAAAAGAACTTTTTTTTCCATCGTGGCTAAAAGCCCGTCAAACACACCAGTTTCTAGCAAATTGCGGAGAAATCCTATTTATTTGTTGGACATTTCGTATCAGTTTTACATCCAGAATCTTAAATTTCGTTAAGGCGCTTCTTCTACGGAACCCCGGAGGTATACAGGGTGAGCCCCCCAGAGATGACCCCAATTTTCACCCCGTATGTTTGCATGAAATCACATCCTTGTGCGTTTTTTGGGAAATGCTTTAGACAAACGTCGCCATTAATAACCAATTTGTAGCCCATAAAGTGTGTAGATGCTTGAAACGAATTGAGTGCATTGTTTTCCTGTATGTTCAAATCACAACAAAAGTGCTCAATGTCATCGTTTAACGTTTTTTTTTTTTCGAAAAATAACTATCACACATCACATAAGAATCGCACAAAACAATATAAATATTTTGGTGTTAACCACTTAAACTACACTAGAGCTAAAAACATATAAATAGTTGTTGAACTTTTCCCAATAAACGACCATTTGAGCCTGCACCAAGGGGTAAACATGGCACAGGCTTATGCCCTGGTTTTGACTGGTTTCCGGGCGGTAAGAGGCCATTCATTGCATATACAGCCACATATAAATTAACATTAAATCTTATAACAATGTGGTTGCACCATGGGGTGGTAACAAACTGAGCTGGGGGAGGAGACCCAAACAGGTTTTCCCTCAAAACTCGTTCCTTAATTGTACTTTAGTCCAATTCAATCTAATCACGCAGTTCTACCCTTGAGCTGTAGGCAGTCTTCTCACTAATCCCACCTCCTTACTCTTCACAATGTCCGCAATATCCACATCATCCAGTTTGCCAGTCGACTCCAGCTTTTCGGCATGAGGGCCGAAGATGGGATGCGAACCATCGCCGGTGCGCTCGACTCTCCTACATACAAGCCAAATTTGAGCGTTCAAATAACGGGGGATTTGGGTGAAACACTCACCTTTTCACCATGTGATAGGGGGTGGATTTGAGGTCGTAGGCCAGCCCGAAGTAGGCCAGGGCATCGATAACAAAAGTGGTAATGCTGTATTTGGAGCCCAATTCGGCCGCCCGGTAGTCCCAAGGGAAGGCGTGGTGATAATTGTGCCAACCCTCTCCAACCGAAACAAATGCGACGAAGCTCGATTCCACCGGCTCCATATATCTGCAAAATACCATCGGGTTGATCAATTTGAGGCGCATTCAGCAAAGTTAAACCGTCGTTATGTGGGGAATACAGTTGGTTTTGGTACGAAAAGAGTGCAGTTTCGCCTGCATGGTTGAAACTGGTAATTTTTTGCTATGCCAATTTTTTATTTTTATTTTTTAGAAACTAGAATTTTAGCAGAAAAACTCAATAGAGCGGTATTTTTTCTGCCCACTTTTGCCCGAAAAACGCTTTGCCCGAAAAACGCGCCTATTTGCTACATAAACGATAGCAAAAAAATTAGTCTTTTCCGGCCGTTGCTTAAAGCTTGTGAGTTTTTCGGGTTTTTGTTATACATAGCATTTTTAGGATCATTTATTGACCATTTTTTGCATATAAAAAGAGAAATCCAGTCCCAAACCCGCTATCAGAGCAGACCCTATCAAGTTCCTTGGCAGTATTTAAACTTTCATCTTTATGCGACGAACTATTCAACAATTGGGACCTTTTGATAATACTTATTAAATGCTTAAACTCATTTTTACCACGATTGCTTCACATTTTAAAATCCATTTATTGGCATATAACCGACGATTTCCCGTATAGCAGGCCTTATTCTCCACGCGCAAGCATAGGGGAGCGCTGTCATAGGGCCTATATGGCGACTCGGCCGGGAAGTGTTTGATGACATGTTGCATTGTTGGCTTACGAGGAAGAATTAGAGGAATTTCTCAAAATATTGTTAAGTAAATATAATAACACTTTTCGTATTTACTTATACAATGTTTTGAGGAATTCCTCTCATTCCTCCTCGTAAGGCAACAATTCGTCATCAAACACTTCCCGGCCGAATTAGCATATAGGCCCTATGACAGCGCTCGCCTATGCTTGCACGTGGAAAATAAGGCCTACTATACGGGAAATCGTCGGTTATATAACAATAAATGATCTTAAAAATGCAATGTATAATAAAATATTATGTGAAATAAACGATATGAATAGTTGTATTTCACATTTTGACTGAATCAATAAAGCGGTATTTTTTCCATCTGAATGACGAATTGAAAAAATTTTTTTTTTGCCAAATATTTTTTGAAACAAAAACTGTGTCTTTTAGAAGGAAAACACGAAAGAGCGTTTTTCATGTCTTCTTAATTTTCCCTTAACACAGCAAGTCGCAATTAAATACTTCCCGGCCGAGTTCGCATATAGGCGCGTTGACAGAAACCGTCTATGCCTGCACGTGGAAATTACGGCCTACTACACCACTAATCGCCGGTTATATGCCAATGAATGATTTTTCAGATGTGATGCAATCGCTTCAGAAAAAAAAAAGTTTTTGCTATTTAATAAGCTAGAGAGATTTATTTGCAATTGAATTTGAATTTTTCGTTTTTTGGAAAGTCCAAACCACAGTAGCGGTCATAGACAAATGAATAATACTCACTTGTCAAAGGGCTTGTTTCCCCATATATGAGCGGCACTGTTGACCAGCCAGGTCATGTTCAGCACAAGCACACTTCTGAACATGTAGGCGACAAAAAAGGAGTTCCACCAGCTTTCCCCCCAGGAGTAAACTGGCACCACTGCGGGCAGGAAAATCGCGAAAATCGCATAAAGAACCTTGTAGTGCCTGGAACAACCACCTGGTGAGCCCAAGAGCCAATCGGAATCAGCCACCCCCACTTACTGCTTTTGGAACATGACCAACCAATCGGCTTGCATGTCGCTCATATCGATGGTTTTGCCTTTGGCGATGACAGCAGGGTGTTTTCTGCTCATCAGCCAGCCCACGTGAGAGAAGAAGAAGCCGCGATGCGCATTGTGCGGATCGGCGTCAGTGTCGCTGTATTTGTGATGCTGTCTGTGATCGCGCACCCAAATATAAAGACAGTTCTGAAATAGGAGGAGGAATCGTCAAAATTACCTCAATTTCCAAAGCATGCAAGGGTTTCATAATTTATTCAAGTATGACGCACATCGGTTTATATTTTTCAATGGTAATTTTTATGCAAGTTTTGCATGAAATGTGAATATTTATTGGGGGAATTTGGTGTGCAAGAATTCATATTTGGGAAAATTGTTGTAAGTGCAAGTTGCTTAATTTAGGTTGATTGCTTTCCTTAACACCGAACAATAAGATCATTAGTTTGCGATTAACAAATAACGTTTAAACGTCCATGAGTCCGTTAAGGTTATTAATTATGTGGTGGCTTTGGACCGTCAATTTTTCCCCAAAAATTATTAAACAGTTAGCAGGAAAAATGCACATTTTTTATGCAAAGTGTATGCAGGTAAAAAATGGCCAAAAACGAATTTTTACCAAAAGGGTGATTCACGATCGATGGCGTTTCAAACCTTTGGTTCCATTATCCAAATATGTTCCACCTAACCGAAATATTTTCAGCTATGTGACGTTGCCACTTATATGGAAAAGTACCTACAACTTAGTAAAACAGTAAACACCCGGTGGAAAAAGAGTTTTTCCTTTTCGTTGCGGAGCAGCACAAAAGTCGGTTAACATGAAAAAGTGTTCATTCAGTGTGGGCTGCGAACTTTAGAGGTGTATTTCAAGGTTCTAAACGGCCATGGCTTGCCGTTAATCTTTGGACAATTTCTGGGAAAATCAAAAGTCCAATAAAAATGTTGCTTCAGGTGATTAATGTGAGCAAAACTACACGGTCGATCCTTGAAAGTTGTGAATTTACGCGGAACTGGCAATTGGTTTTACCAAGAACTTTGAACCAACGTCGCAATCTAAGGAAAAAAAAATGATTTTTTCTTTCTGAACTTTTCCAAACGCCAGATCGCATTGAAGCGCATCACCCTAATTGTAAGGCGTTTTCTGCAGTTTGCTCAACCAGGGATCCGATGGTCATCAATTGGTCATTAGCACAGTTGAAGTCGCGCTATTATTTAACCATCATCTTTCAATTATTTGCGTCCTCCGACGCATTATCGATTCAGTCTCGTATGACTCAGTTTGGCAATAAAACTGTACAAACTCATAACCAATTGCAAATATCGCATTGTTTTATTGTTTCCTCCAGAGTTCACTTGTTTGCCCGCCAAGTGTGACCAATAAAAGTGTTTGTAACAATGGGCTTGAAACCAATGAAAGGATTGGCTGTTGAAAGAAGTTTTAGATTTGCGAGGTTTTTTTTTGAGTTGCAAAATCCACTTGAACATGACGCTGCTTTTTCGAGGTTTCTCAGAAACCATTCAGTTGAAATGTTGCAATTCTTTAATCCCAAGAATCCTTCTCAACGCCAAAATCCATGAAATTTTCAGCACTTTCGGCTTTAAGTGTCTTTTCTAGGGTGTGCAAGTTTTAAGTTGCTGTCTGCTCTAATATGGAAGTTAGGAATTTTTTAAACAAAGGATGCTTTTGAGAGGAAGCTTTCATTCTTAACTCAACTTTACCCAAGTCGGTAAAAATCAGAAAAGCGGCCAATTTCAATTAAATTTTCAGCACTTTCGGCTTTAAGTGTCTTTTGTAGGGTGTGCAAGTTTTAACTTGCTGTCTGCTCTAATTTGAAAGTTAGGAATTTTTGAAACAAAGAGTGCATTTGAGAGGGAACTTTCATTTTTAGCTCAACTTTACCCAAGTCGGTAAAAATCAGAAAAGCGGCCAATTTCAATGAAATTTTCAGTACTTTCGGCTTTAAGTGTCTT